GACGGGCAGTCTCATGTAAAGTTACCCGTACACTTACTTATTATGCAACCCAGCCAACCTAATCTCAGGTGTTTATCCAAAAGAAACAAAAGCATATGTCCAATACCCACAGTGCTCTCAAATCCAATCTGAATTCGAGTGGCAGCCCTTCGCCTTGTCTAAGTCTTTGGTGCACAGAAGCAAAACCTAAAACTCATTCGGATTTGGCTGCAGCTTTGAGCTGCATTTATGGCTCCAATTCCTCAAGCCCTACCTGCCTTTTTAAGCTCCCAGTTACTCCACCTGCAGTCACCCAGTGCCTTCATTCCTGGGTCCACAGTCCTCCCTCCCACCTCCTTTCCTCTGACGACCTGCAGACTCTCTCTGGAGTTTTCCTTTTGTATAAAATACACCTCTCTTTCAAACGACCTGCTAGTTTATGGCTTACATATTCTGCTGATGGCGACGCATCCTGCCCCACGTCTGAGACCTAGAGCGGACGTGTTGGGGGACCTGGATGGACCCCCAGCCAGTGGATGCCACAGATGTCCCATGCCTCAGCAGCCCTTCCAGAGGACCCGAGATTAGTAGGTTGATTAGTAGGTCATGCCTACGCTGTCCACTCTCGGTTACTGGACACCCAGCCACCGGCCTTGATGGTGACCTGCCATTACTCCGAAGAGGGAATATTTTCCACCTTTGTAATGACCCAGTTAAGCTCTGTGTGGCTTCCAAAATCACAGCACCAGGACGGATGGAGAATTTTCCTCTGTAGTCACCAACTGTCATGCAGAGGGGTCAGGCTACACACCACGAGGGCTATGCAACGGAGAAGGGAAGTAGGTTCGTAGAGGAAAAATGTACCGGCAGGGAAGATTTAAAATATAAACGTATAGCAGTACTTTAGGGTGATTCCTCAAGCGTACCCAGCCTCTCCTTCGATTAAGGGACTTTTGATTTCCCAATTGGTTTGTGCAGAAATGAAGCGAGAGGGTGTAACTCTCCATTTTGATGACTCATGTCAGATTGCTATCCTATCAACCGGACCTGAGTCTTCCTGTCACACAGATATTTCAACAGCGATAAACACGGCGTGCAGGCTGAGTGCGCTCCCAGGGCTTTGTGGCATCTGACATCTCCAAGCACGAGTTAGTGCTCTCCAAGGGCTTTGGGTCCAGACGCCCAGGGTTCTGTGCACACTCGGCCGCTCGCTAGCCGTATGATCTCGTGCGAATCACTTCTCTGTGCCCGTTGACCTCTCTGCAAAATGGAGACGTTCGTTCCTACCTTACCTGGTTGTCATGAGAACTAATCCACGTGACTGGCGTGAAGCACCTGGCGCAATGCCAGACGCATGGTGCCCTGTGCGTGTCAGCTGTTAACTGTCATTGCCACCACCGTCGTGACCGTTACTATTATCACCACCACTCGGGTTTGTGAGAACTAATTCCACATCTCCCAGAGGAATCTGCTTGCCACACGACACTTGGCAATGTTTCAAAACCGCTCTGTGCCCGAAGTAGCAGAGAGCTGGAACTCCTCCAATTTGGAGAAAGGATGTTTTGGTTTTGACTTCTGGATGTGTTGGTTGTTGGTGTCTTTCTTGCTATTTAACTAATAATTGCTGTCAGTTCGGCCTTGTCATTACCAGTTTAGTTTGTTATAGGTTGTTTAGTTAAACTGCATGTATAATGATGCATATTTGCTTCAATTCCATGCATGCGTGGCCTGTAATTTTCCACTAATTAGACTTTTTAAAGACACATATGCAGTTATCTACTCAAATCTGCATCATCTGTTTCCTGTTGCCAGAGCAGATGTACACAGCGCCCGCCCACCCCCATGCCGCGAAGTCATTTGCTTTTATCGCTGACTCCTTTTTCCACTGGAAAGTAGGAAAAAGGGGGGTGCAGATGGTTGGGGTTCTTGTCTCACTGAAGTGAGAGCCCTCAAAATAGTGCAGACGAAAGGCACCAGGCCTGAGTCAGACGGGAACAGTGGGGCTGAGGGGATGGAATGGACCCCGAAATATCTGAAATACAGCAGCAAACCGACCGAGGACCCCAAACCCACCCCCAGCGGCAGCCCCCAACCTGAAAAGGTCTAGAGACCCACCAGTTCCCCAAGAATCAAGCATCCAGACCCCACTCCTCTAAAATGGCTTTATTTCCCCAGTGTGGGGAGCTGCGGATGGAGTCTGTGGTCCCTGTACCGCCCAGGACCCTGTGGCTGCCTCCCGCCCAGCAGGCTGTGGCAGGACATTCAGAGGCCATGCCAGGGCTCCAGACGCTGACCCACCCAGAGTGAGGCTGGTTCCGGGAGGGGCTGGGCCTGCTGTGGGTCGCACGGATGACACTCCCTGTGGTGGTCCCAGCAGTGACCCAGGTGGTAGTCCGTGGGTATGGGGCCCACCTCAAGGCCAAGGCCACCAGGTGCAGGGGGTTCAGGACGAGCTAGGCCTTATTCTGGGAGCAGAACTCCCCATGTGGGCATCTGAAGTCCACCGACAAGACTCAGTCTGGGAGAAAGAGAAAAAAGAACAGGTGGTGGGAATAGAGAGGACAGAAAAAATGGGGGACCGGCAAAAAGAGGGAGAAAGATCCATGAAAAGCCCAAAGGAGACCGAGAGAGTGAACCAGGGACAAAGCGAGAGCAGCGAAAGAGAAAAATAGAGATACGGGAACAGAGACCTGGAAAACGGACACAGAAGCAGCGACAGAGGCCGGCGACACACACAGGTGGAACCTACACACTGACCTCTGGGCCCAGGAGGGGTTGGGGGCGAAGGCCCCCCCGGGGGAAGCAACGGAGAGCGGCTCAGGGCCTCGGCCACCCAGCCCAGGACGCGGCTACAGTGATGGACCTGGGGAGCAGGGGCCACGTCAGGGCGCCAGTTGGCGACGGCATCGGCCCCACCCCAGCCACAACCCGCAGCCTGACCCGAGGCCTCACCTCCTGCTCCAGCCCTTTCAGACGCTGCTCGTATTCGCGGATCTGTCTCAGCTGCTTCAACGCCGTGTCCACCCTAGGCGACCCGGGCTTCAGGCCGGGGCCAGCAGCCCGCCGGCCCCATCCACCTCTGGACCCCCGCCCCCGGAGCTCCGCCTTCCTCCCAGATTCTGGGGCCCCGCCCCCTCAGGCCCCGCCTCCTCCCCGGTGCTTTGCAAGCCCAACCTCCATCGTGGGGTACGCCCCTGGGACCAGACGCCCCGCCCCCGACCAGGCCCCACTCTCACTTCTGCGACGTGCGCTTCAGACGCTCCGAGTCGCTTTCCCGCTTGTCCCTCACGCGCGCCAGCAGGAAATTCTCCTTCTGCACCGACTCCCAGGTCAACAGACTCCTCTCGGCTTCCTTAGGGAGGTGGACCCCTAGAGGGCAGGGTCGGGAGTCGAAGGGCCGGCTCGTTCTCGTGCCACGCCCCCCCAGACCCAGCCTCCCGCGCCCCAAACCTCGAGTGCGCTCACCCAGGCCACGCCCCCTGACAGCCTAAACACCGCCCACCGGTGCTACCGGGCATCCTCCCCAGCCTATCCACGCTCTCCCTCCTTTCCAGGTCCCGCCCCTTGAGTTTTGAGCCATGACCCGCTCTCACGAAAATGCTGAAGGTCCGGGGAGGACGGCAAGCTGGCCCTGTGCCTGCGAAATCGCCGGAGGAGGAGGCGCACGTGCGAGATGATGATGAGGGGCGGGGCCAGCGCAGGCCGAGAGTGAAATTCCCGGATGAGGCTGTAGCGCTGCGCCTTCCAATAGAGGTCGCTGTTGCCCTGTACTTTGCCAAAGGTGTAGCTGTAGGGACCAGAGGTCGCCAGAGGTCACCAGAAGTCAAAGTCCCGTCGAGGGGCAATGGATCAAGATTAGAGGTCAGGCAATATGTTTGAAGTCCAAGGCAGCAGGCAGATGTCAGAATCAATAAAGTCAGAGATTATCACGGATGCAATTAGTAGTTAGGTTAGGAGAGCCAAGGGTCAGATGTTAGAGGTCAAGTTTTGGATGGTGTCACGAATTAGAATGGAGGTTGGAGTCAGGTTCCAAAGTCAGCCTGGACACAAAAAACTAAAATCAGAAAAAAACCTTACAGAAATAAAAATGATTATAAGAAAATACGTCAGCAATTTTATGCCAACGAAATAGATAACCTACATGAAATGGCAAAAAGTCTAGAACACAAATTACCTAAATTGACCCAAGAAGAAATAGAAAGTCGCAAAAGACCTATATCAAGTAAAGAGATTAATCAGAAATGTCTCAACAAAATAAAGCCCAGGACCAGATGCCTTCACTTGTGAATTCTACCAAACATTTAAAAAAGAACTAACACCAATACTTCTCAGACTCGTCCAAAAAACAAGAGGAGAAAACACTTCCTGACTCATTCTACGAGTCCAGCATTACCATGGTCTCAACATCACAAGAAAGGAAAATTACAGATCAATATCCTTCATGAATATACATGCAAAAATCCTCAGCAAAATACCAGCAAACCTAATTCGGCAACGTATTAAAAGGATTATACACCATGACCAAGCAGGATGTATCCAAGGAACACAAGCAGCGTTTAATATACAAAAATCAACTCATGTAATATCTCACATTAACAGAACAAAGGGAAAAAAATGACATGATCATCTTAATCGACACAAAGACACTGAAAAGACATTTGACAAAATCCAATACCCTTTCATGTTCAAAAAAAAAAAAAAACTTTAGAAAAGTAAGTGTAAGAATAGAAGAAAACTTCCTTAACATGAGAAATCCAGAGCTGACATCGTACTCAATGGTGAAAGATTAAAAGCTTTCCTATGAGATCAGGAACAACACAAGGATGCCCAGTTTCACCACTGCTATTCACCACTGCACTGGAAACTCTAGCCAGAGCAATAAGACAAGAAAAAGAAATAAAAGGCATCCAAAATGGAAAAGAAGCTAAACTATCTCTATTCACAGGTGATATGCTTCTATATATAGAAAGTCTCAGAGAACCACAAGAAAGCTACTAGAACTAATAAATGAATTCGGCAAAGTTTCGGGATACAAGATCAACAACAACAAAATGTCATGTTTCTCTACACCTGCAAAGAATAATCCAAAAAGGAAATTAAGAAAGCAATTCCATTTATAATAGAATCTAAAACAATAAAGCACCTAGGAATCAATTTAACCAAGAAGGCGAAAGATGTGTACACTGAAAATTACAAAACAATGCTGAAAGAAATGTAAAAAAGTGCCTAAATAAGTGGAAAGTCAGCCTGGGT